CTGAAAATAAACATTTCATTTGAAATGGCAATTTTGCTCAATATCGGAGAAATAGCTAGCTCATAAAATAACAGTAAAAAGGAATCAAATACCTTCATGTTTCATGTTTGTCGGATTTCTCAAAAAGAAAAATGACTAACTTTAGATATTAAAGTCATAACTTGAACGATTAGCTAAACTAAACCCAGAGAGCAAATAAAATACAGTTATTTATATTATTTACACGGTCGATATTAAAGCTACCACTTGATGAATTTAAACGAAAAGTTAAAAGTAAAGTTATGGCTAAAGCATATCATACTATTGCTGAATATCTTGACGACGCCAATGTGTGGAGTTAATACTGTTGATACTCACGTAGGCTAAAACAAGACTATTATACCTGTAACATTATATTGTAAACTGACCTTTTAAAAAAGAGCAACTGTTGACTTTCTTGTCGGTTTCTTCTCAACAGAAACTGCTTTCCGAACCGGTGGTAACTTACGAACATATTAATTTCCTTGTAAAATTTCGACGTTTCATAAGAACGCGCAAGTGTCTATGTGAATAAAGATATTTTATTATTATTATTATTCCCGAGTTCACTGAGCCTGATGTTCACTTTTTCATGAGTATGACTTGTATACTCGCCACAGTAAAGGTACCGTATTAAAACTATAGGCTATATAAACGTTATTATTTTAAATTAGTTTATATCATTGAGTACGTGTAGTGAAGTAGGCATGCTCAACAAAGCTTAATTATAAATGTTCCAGACAAAATCTGCTGACAAATAAACTCCATTTATTTACGTGGGTTCTAATTGGATAAATACAGATTTATTTTACTTTACGAAGTTAGTCTTATAAGGTTTTACACTAATTTCGTAGCCCCAACACATTGATTCGGTCAGCGGTTTCCTAAGATGTTTTGGTTAGGGAGCTAGTGGAATTTATTTTACCAAAATGGGTAAATTTGTGTAATATATATTTGTGCGATTTTCATGAAATTTAGTATGTGCATAGATTCGGGGGCGATAAATCGGTCTAGCTAGGTTTCATTTTTAGAAAATGTCCTTTTATCCCTGTTTTCACGGAATAAAAAATATCCGGTCGGTAAACGGGCGCCCCCAAAACAGACGGCCGCGGTTCGTATCACGATCATACACACTACTATTTTTTCACTTTTTTTCTATACCAGATCATTGCTTTCTTTATTTTTTATTTTTTTTATTTCCAAAATACATGATTTACCAAAACAACGAGCAAAGCTCGTTTCCTACCAGTCAACACAGCGGTACCACAGAGGTAAACATTTAAAGATGAAATATAATCAAAAACATAGAATTTAACAGCCAAAACACTAATTTAGATAAGTGCCGCCCATAGACATCACTAATGCCAGCTCTTAAAAGTGGTTTCCTAGTACGATTACTCAACTTTCTGGAAAGACCAAAACTTATTGTTTTTAAATCATAAGCATGTTGTGGATATAGGCCTTAAATTTACTACAAAAAAAAATCGAACACTGGGTCGAATTAAAAAAGTTATCGTTAATAATTTTTATCACTTTATAATGGTAGTATTAACTAATTAGTATTTAGTACGTTGTGTATTCATAAGTACATAAACGGAATGTATTGTAAAATAGTATGTAATAAAAACTAAGTATGTACATAGATTTCTCGGCTGTAGATAATTATTTGATTTCAGTGATTTTTTATGAAGTTTCTTAGGTATCCAGCCTAAAATTTCGAATCAGTAACCCAAAATCCTGGGGTGGGCACTAGACGATACTGGGGTGGGCATGGACCCCTGCTACATACACCTATGTCTGGTGTACCAATACCCCGCTGCTGAAGCTTATTAACAGCGCTAAGGTAGAATTACCTCTGAAAATTTCGCACTATGTCCCCGGCAAATTGCTAATGCATATCGTTACCTCTTTGCTAACTCACTGACTCACAACCCGTAGAGACGTCTTAGCTGAGCGCTGACTAGGTCGATCACAAATGCCAGTGGCCACTAAACATGCGAGTTATCAGTATTTATTTATTCATTTATTTGCCATTACACAAAGTACAATTTATGATGGTACAATTATAATTATTTTTAGTTCCACTTGTAAATATTACAAAAAATATATGCGATTAAGTCATTTCATTAAAGATTCTAAATTTTAATTTATATAATAATAATCAAATAATCCCCCCATCAAATAATAACAATAATTAGCCTATACTATAAATTAGTCATTATCAGTAAGACGCTGTATTTTGTATTTGATCGTGCTTCGTGTCCGTCTGAGGGGAAGGACTTTGTTCAGTAATGGACTCGAAGATGATGAAATGATTATGATAAATCACTGTATTCCTGTCTCGGGTGAAATTGTCTCTACCCGCATAGTTTAATGAAAAGATTTACGGATGTTATTCGACATAAATCAAATAAAAAAACCGGCCAAGTACTGGTCGGATTCGCGCACTAGGAGCTGGACGCCTCTATATCTCTGTCTGTATGTCATTGTTAGTCCTGACCACGGCCGATTTTTATTTACTAATTTTGTATCCGATCTGAGCATATGGTACTAATTATATCATATCTTGAAGTAGTGGTTCCTTTGTACCTTGATTTAGTTTTATTAAAGACAGATTCCCAAACTAAGCATCGCATACAGCACCGAACCCATTCCCTATTGAATACGATATGGTTAAAGAAGGATATTCAAAGCGTAGGTATTGTGTACGTAACTTGTATTTTTTCTAATTCCACGTGTCGCTATGGCGACAATGAACCTTATGAAAATTTCCTCAACGTACAACGGAAATAATCCGGGAATATATCGCTTGGATGTCGCCTAATTAGGCCTTGTACCCTTCTCATTTGCATGTCTTTCATCTCGTAAGCATCCAGCCCCGCTTAACGTACGGAGGGGCACGGTTAATACCTTTTTTATGTTACTTTCGGGTGTTTAGGGGCCGCTAGAAGTTACGCTAACGACGTGGTATATTACATTCAGATGTTCGTATTAATAGCACACACTCGGATTTAGGGTAATAGGGTGACCATAAAACTACCACAAACATACCCTTATAAATTTGAAAAAGCATAGTGGATACTTACACATCGAAAACGAGTAACTGTATGTTTTATTTATACTACTCCGAGTAAGAATCAATAAGATCTGTGGTAAGCTGTTGGAATAAAATCGTGTTTAGTAGTAGGTAGTTACGCCAGTTGTTTATAGGTATATCCCAATATCATTGATAAACTGGAGCACCTTCTCAATAACTACATCAGATTCGTTTTCATTTAATATAAATCATCATCATCATTATTTCAGCCTGTTTGAGTCCACTGCTGAACATAGATCTCCCCCACAAACCGCCACGAAGCGCGATCCTCTGCCACCTTCATACATCGACTTCCCGCACATTAGCACAGGTCGTCACTCCATCTAATGGTCGTCCTACTCATCAACTAGATATTTTAACATAAATAACTTAGAAATTTAAATTGTTTATAGTGCTAATCTGTGCACTTAAGATTGAACATAACTTAATAATAAATAACTTAACTGGCTTTCTATTCCATTGTGGTGTTGACCGAGAATTATGTGATTATTGTATTCTGTATTGTCTAATTCAGTCTTCGTCATACCTTAAACATACCATCCCATACCTTTACTCTACTCCTCACCGAGAATCTCGTTCCATAAACTAACTTAAGATTCCCATTGCTCGTGATGAAACGATACAATATATATAGAAAAATAAAAATATAGCATTAAATATCATCATTCTATATATATATATATATATCATCTTTTACTCAACTATTAAATAATTAATCCTATATATATATATATATATATATATGTAGGATTAATTATTTAATAGTTGAGTAAAAGATGATTTTTGAACGAAGTATTGTGTGAATGAGAAGGATGGATTACGTAAAAGGGGATTGAGGGACTCTCGCAACGACGCCACGAACGAGTAACGTGTATCTGTGTCTTAAAATGTAGTAATTTAAATAAAGATGAAAATAGTAACAATATACTCAAAATAAAGATTTTATTTATCCTACGCCTACAAAATTCTCGTCCGGGATAACGGGCTTAAAGTGATTTTTGGGTATTTTAATAACGAGAGAAAGTGATCACGTACGCCAGCCGCCATTACGTGTTACAAAGGAAGCGTATTAATTGTCACTTTAAAATAACGACGATAAAATGCGAAGATAATAACCAGAGGCTGTCTCTTTCTCATCAAGCGCAAAATAAATCTGCTCCTTATTTACATTCATCACGCATTGATAAGACGCGTACGACAGAGACATTGCAGGAGCCGCTAGCGCAAGTGAACGAGTACCGTAGCATCGTTTGTACGAAAGAGGCGGCTAGTCAGAGCGAGTTACGCAGTATACCGGCAAACGTAAATGACACTGTTGTACATTTGAATGAATCAGCTGTTAAAATACATTGCAATCGGCAGATGAATGTTGTAAATAATGAGAGTGGTATCAATAATAAACGTGCATCTTTTTCGGAGATAATTCAGAAAAAAGGTGAGTGGAAGGAACCAAAACGGAGTGACGAATGGATTTTAATGCAGAGACGAAGGTTAAAAAAACCGTTTTATTAGCCAGAGAGGAAGCGCTGTGTCTGCTGATTCTACGGATAAGGGTTTTAATTTTAAGGCGGCGGACACAAAGGTGCCGTTGTTTATATCCAATGTACACAAGGAGGTTTCTGAACAAGATATTGTAAACTACATCTTAGAAAAAAACAAAGAGACTATAACGCCTTCAAAGTTTTTATTAGCAAATACAAGATTAGTAAATTCTTAGATGACAAATTGTGGCCGGCTGGTATATCTTTCAGGCGTTTTATTAATTTTCGTGATAAGGAGCAGCACACTGAAGACCTTGATAGTAATAGGAACTAAATAAATCTAACTTAATATGGATAAAATCAGTAAAATAATAAGTTTTAATTGTAAAGGCGTAAAGAGATCTATGGAGGATGTTAGGTCTCTGTGCCGGTCAGCCGATGTGGTGGCCCTACAGGAGACCTGGTTGCTGCCTCACGATCTACCCCTACTAAACACGATTGACGAAGACTTCGGGTGCACCGGAACGTCTGCGGTCGACACTACGACGGGGCCACTTAAAGGCAGACCGTATGGAGGTGTGGCGCTGTTATGGCGTAAAAGTGCGTTTGAGTCGGTGTCTGTTGTGAACTGCAATCATGTGCGGGTATGTGCAATCAAAGTTACTGTAAATAATAGATCCACTGTATTTTTTTTTTTTTTTTTTTTTTTTTTTTTTTTTTTTTTTTTTTTTTATGCGAAAAAGTTGTCAAACGAGCAGACGGTTCACCTGATGTTAAGTGAATACCGCCGCCCATGGACATCTGCTACACTCGAGGGTTACAGATGCGTTGACAACCTTTTGAAAATTGGGCTCCGGCTACCTCACTCACCAGACGAAACGCGAAAGTATTTGTCATACTTCCACTTTACGCCGGTCTTCTGTGAGGTCGTGGTACTTACCCGGACGGGCCTGCCCATTCGTGCAACAGCCGAGGCTGCTGCGTGGCCCTACCACCGTAGGATTGTTTTAGCATCTATATGCCTACTGACAACTATGACAATCTTTATCTATTTACGGAGTGTCTTGGTGTGATTCGGTCTATTATTGAAGTAGAAGAGAACAACGGCATAGAGGCGTTTTACTTATTAGGAGATTATAATGCGCATCCTAATGAACTGTTTTATAATGAGATGATAGATTTTTGTAAAGATCAAAATTGGTTATGCATTGACATCTTAATGTGTAAAAAAGATACACATACTTTTTACAGTGATGCACATAGTTGTAAAAGGTGGTTGGACCATTGTATTATCACTGAATCGGCAAGGGAGGCAGTCATTCGCGTGGCTGTTCAATATGATGTTTTTTGTTCTGACCACTTACCACTTATTATAGAATGCAATCTAGACAGGCTTCAACCTAGAGTTAACGAGCCAGTACCTCATCGGGTTAATCGTGTTTTATGGGGAGATAGACGATTGCAGCAAATAAGTGCTTATCATGAACTTTGTAACTCTGGGTTGAAGCTTATCGATTTTCCGCAGGATTTGGTTGAATGTTGTGACACCTTTTGTAATAATAAAAAACACCAACTCGTTATTGACAATTTGTACTCAAATATGGTAGATATTTTATCACAAGCGGCCATGCAAACATACAGAGTTAGGTGTCCTAGAAAAGGTGGTTATGTGACGGGCTGGAATAAATATGTAGCAGAACCACACCGTGAGGCTCGGCTTAAATACCAATTATGGATTTTGGCGGGTCGACCGGTCAGTGGTTCGATTTTAAAAAAGAGATGGTGGAGGCACGGAAGTATTTTAAAGATAAATTGAGATGGTGCCAAAAGAGACAGGAGCAGCTTAAAATGGATCTTTTGGCATCCAATCATAAAGATAAAAATTTTAAAGCTTTTTGGAATAACACAAAAAAATTAAATGTTAGACCCAGTCAGCCGGTGACTATTGGTGGCGTTCAGGACCATAAGCAAATTGCTGAATATTTTAGGGAAAATTTCACTGTGCAGTCACCACTGGGTCCTGCGAGGCACTTGATGAGCGGTGGTGGGGCCGTCAGAGCCGGGAGAAATCACAAAATACCTGCTAAGTTGATCGCAAAAATAATCAAAAAAATGCAGCGCGGTAAATCTCCTGGTCATGATGGTCTCAGCATCGAACATTTCAGGCATGCGGGAGTCCATCTTCCTCGAGTCTTATCATTGTTTTTCACTCTGTGCATCGGCCATTCTTATTTACCTGCGGCGCTAATGACGACTATCGTGGTACCCATTATTAAGAACAAGACAGGTGATACGTCAGATCTGAAAAACTACCGGCCCATCTCTCTGGCTACCACGGCGGCCAAGGTGCTTGACAGTGTGTTGAACGGTTTCCTAACAGAACATATCAGTATACACGATGCACAGTACGGTTTTAAAGCGGGAGTATCGACTGAGAGTGCCATTCTTAGCCTAAAGCACACTGTTAAGTACTATACGACGAGAAGAACGTCGGTGTACGCGTGCTTCCTAGACTTGACAAAGGCGTTTGATTTAGTCGCTTATGACAGGCTCTGGGAAAAGCTAGGGAGCACGAGTGTACCGGCGGAATACATTAGCCTTCTCCAGTACTGGTATGCGAACCAGAGGAATCAGGTGAGGTGGGCCGGAGCGCTGTCTGACGAGTACAAAATGGAATGCGGTGTCAGGCAGGGCGGCTTAACCTCGCCTGTGCTTTTTAACCTATATGTTAATGAGCTTGTAGAACGGCTAAGCAGCTCTCATGTTGGCTGTCACATCGATGGTACCTGTGTCAATAATATTAGTTACGCCGACGACATGGTGCTGCTTAGTCCATCGATAAATGGTTTTGAGAACATTGCTGTCCGTTTGCGAGACGTATGCGACTGAACACGGCTTAAAATATAATGCTGCAAAGTCCGTTATTCTCGTTTTTTCGGTCTCCTAAGCAGAAGCCGCGTTGTGTGCCATCAATATCTCTCAACAATGTACCATTGAGTATTATGAATAGTTTTAAGTATTTGGGTCACATTGTCACAAGCGACCTAAGGGATGATGATGATATAGACAGGGAGCGCAGGGCGTTGGCAGTGAGGAGCAATATGATTGCCCGAAGATTCGCTCGTTGTACTGCGGGTGTCAAGATTACCTTATTTAAGGCATTTTGTCACTCGTTCTACTCCAGCGGTCTTTGGGTGTCATATTCGCGCCGAACCTTCAATTCCCTGCGAGTGCAATATAACAACGCCTTCAGGATGTTGATGGGACTGTCGTGGCGCTGCAGCGCGTCTAAAATGTTTGCTGACGCCCAAAACTGATGGCTTCCACGCCATTATGCGTAAAACAGCGGTCTCTTTGCTGCAGCGCCTTCGTACTAGTGGCAACAGCATTCTGAAAATGATTGCTGACAGACCTGACTGTCCTTTCCAGCAACACTGGGTGGCAGTTGCTATAGGTCTGGTAAAATAATAATACGCAATTTCTTAATGTTTACTAATAATACTTTACTTACCTAGATTTAAGTCACAATGTTATTTACTAATACTAACAAACTATGGACAATGTACTTAATTTTGTGTATTGTCTGAAATAAAGATTATTATTATTATTATTATTAATATTTACGGCGGTTAAAGATGATGGAGAGCAATAACGACGATGGTAAATATAATCCATTCTTCCTGATGGATTCCCTACCTAAGTTTACGGGGGATGATATGACGTATTCCTCTGCAAAATGGACGCAGGATATTGAAGACAACGCAGATATTTTCGGATGGAACCAACTACAACGGCTAACGGAAATCTATATAAATATCAGTGTTGTTCTACTATATTATGCATGAATTATAGATAAAAAAAACTTCCTCCCGAATTAATATACCTATTATAGAAAACTGCATCAAAATCATTTGCGTAGTTTTAAAGATCTAATCATATATAGTGACAGGCAGACAGTGGGACGATTTTGTTTTACACTATGTAGTGATGTATGCATAAAATATATATTAAATGAATAAACTTTGAGGGATTAATAAAAATACCTCTTAATTTCCTGAAAAGTAGTCGGCGAAATCTAGTATATGTGCTAGTTTGTATGATCTGCCTTTCAGATGGTAATCGAATATTACTGGGTGTTCCGCTAGCAAAAGCTTAAAAAAGACATAGGATTGCTTTTATATTATTTAAAAAAAAAGAAATAAGATTAATAATAATTAAAAAGATAGATCGAAGATTTTTTATTTAAAATTTTTTTTTATTTATTTATATCAACGCGAGAGAAGCCACGGGTAAAAGCTAGTAATAAATATTTTCGGACACATTCTTACACAACATTGTCTAGTCCCAAACTCAGCAACGCTTGTACTATGGGTACCAGAAAACTGATAAACATACTGAAATATACTATTGTTAATAAATACATATAATATGAACACCCAGACACTGGAAAAACAGTATGTTCATCACACAACATTTTTCCAGTAGTGGGGATCGAACCCAGTTTTTGTAACCACCCTCTGGCGCAGGAAGCAGGTTCACTACTCCACTGGCCAATTGGGTGGTTACAAAAAATGTGATCTCATCAATTGGAGTATATGATTAACGTTTTTTATATACGCTTATTTTAAAGATTGTTAATACGAATCTTTAATCGAAAACGATTATTTAAATAATAAAATAGTAAGCAATGAGAAATATTGGTAGGTATTTATTTATAGATGGCATAAAGTATTTTCTGCCTTTGGGTATTCTCTGAAACTAAGAAACCAATACAAATTGATTTGCTTGTGAAATATTACGTTATCTCGAAGTTACAAAATCATTTTATTTACTAGTTGATCCGTGCCAAATTTTCGCATGTTAATAATAGAATGTAAATAAGTATTTATTTATTTATTTTTTTTATGTGAAAAGTTTTCAAACGAGCAAACGTTTCACCTGATGTTAAGTGATAACCGCCGCCCATGGACATCTGCCACACCCGAGGGTTACAGATGCGTTGACAACCTCTTGAAAATTGGGCTCCGGCTACCTCACTCACCAGACGAAACGCGAAAGTATTACACCTCCACTTTATGCCGGTCTTCTGTGAGTTGCAACAGCCGAGGCTGCTGTGTGGCCCTACCACCGTAAAATTAATAAATAAATTTATCGATAAAAGATCTCCCATTTTGAAGGGTAACGGAAATTTCAACCTACTTTGCTATCTCTCATTTAAAGAAATCGGCAGTTTTTTTTTCTGTGAAAATCATTAGCAAACTGCCTTAACATGGTGTTTGAATAACTGAAATTGAAATAACTGAAAAAAACACATAATAAGAGAAACACATAATGTTATATCACTGTATTTTAAAGTGATTTGGTATGACAAAATTAAAAAATTAAATTAGACATATCTAAACGATCAAAACATAAATCTAAAAAAAATATATAAAAAAAATTGCGAATCGAATGCTCCCTAGAACAGTTAAAATTACGTCAGAAGCGGAAACTTAAACTGTTTTACGTACAAAAACCATCAGATCGGACCATCAGAACGGTCTCATGGTTGGGAATAATCAATTTTTACATCTTTAATGGAGCTCAGGATCTGAGAGTTAATTGTGGGATGAAAACGTTCTCAAAAAGTTATACGAGTGAGGGCAATTCTTTAGGTCAGGGGCGTATTACCATTTTAAATTTAAATGGAACGAAAATTGGATATTTGTTAAATGTACCAATTATGATTTCTAATATTAAGGAGGATAAAAATAAAGTATTGTTTTTTTTTTCACTTTTTGTAAAGGAATCGAATACTGGTCACTTGTTATTTTGACCGGTATATAACGCTGTTACGACGAGTTTGCAGAAGTGCAATACTGGCCTTAATTATGGCAATGCAATGTTCCAATCAAAATGCAACGTACAAAAAACGGTAAGCACTAAGGCATGCTTCTGTTTATAAAATAATTTCCTAAGACACTCAGAAAGCAGATACATACTGTAATTTGTTGTACTGTAGACCAATTTCCTTATATATTTATATATTTCTCTATAATTTTACTATAGTGTTGATTTATAATTTCTCAGCAAGCGGACAATAAGTATGTATGTGTTATCCGAACACACATGAATCACGGCACCGTCTGTTACATATATCATTTGTAAGTCGGCTGCCACCTACATATTATACGTTTATGTTTATGATAACGTATTTGAGGCGGTAACTTTTTCTATGTTAACATACTCTCCGTTTGTTAAGGCCTTGATGATGCCTTGGCCTTTATGTATGAGAAGGCGTTTGACGTTAATTACCACCGTCCATGGTATCCTTTGAGAATCGGTTGCGTTGCCAATCATGAAAAACTAGCGCTTTAAGTTTTAACATTGTAACCAGCCTTTTGCAAAGGTCCAATTCTTGTGGGTTTTTTTATGCGACAAAGTGGCAAACTGGCATTTTACCTGATGTTAAGTGATAACCGCCGCCCATGGACATTTGCAACACCCATAGGGATGCAGATGCGTTGCTTCCTGTTAATAAAGTGGGCCCCGGCTATCTCACTCACCAGACGAAACGCACGCGCGAAAAAAGCGTCACGCCGGTCCTCTGTGAGGTCGTGTTGCTTACCCGGACGGACCTGCCCATTCATGCAACAGCAACCACCGTTGCGTGGTCCTACCACCTCCTCCATTTGGGTAAGAGTTGGCACTTTCCCGGACAAGCCACAGTAAGTAAAACCTAGTTTGTCAACATGGAGCGCTTTAAATCTGTTCTTACTCATACAATTTTAAATTTCACCACCTGCTAAGTTAAAATATGCGGTATAATGATATTATGAAAACACTTGTGTGATATTCCGGGTCACTAGTAGACCCGTAATCGTGTTACCGATTGTATCTTGAACTAATTTATTACCATTTGACACCCTTATCCGATTTCTGTTTGCCTACGAGGAACAATTAGTAACTGGGCCTCTACAGGTAAATTTCCCTTAACCACGCCGCCTTCAAAGTATGCGGGAAATTAGCAGGACCACAAACGACCCATTTTCGGTTTCGGCCAGACTTGATTTAACCCCGGGTTAAGATGTCAACTCGTAGAGGG